CGAGTGCGTGATTATACACAAGCGGTAGGCAAAATCACGATCCCTCATCAACGTGGCTCAGCTCTTCTTTCGCGAGGTGTATCGTCTGCATGGTCTTCCGACATCTATTGTTTCTGACCGATACACTCGCTTCCTTAGCTGTTTCTGGCGTAGTTTGTGGTGCCTGGCTAATACGAAGTTGGAGTTCAGTAGCGCTTACCATCCCCAGACTGACGGTCAGACGGAGGAGTTAATCGCTCCCTCGGCAACTTGTTGCGTTGTCTCGTCGGTGAGTACTTGCGTAGTTGGGATCAGAAGCTGAGCCAGGCGGAGTTTGCCCACAATTCGGCTGTAAGTCGGGCGACCGGATTTTCTCTTTTTGAGGTTGTTTATGCGGTTCGACCGCGTGGGGTGGCGGATTTGATCGCGCTGCCGTCGATGGAGGACGCCGACCGCCGGGCCGAGGACCTCATGGCCGACCTCCGACACACTCATGCCGCGGCCCGGGCGCGTTTGATGGAGGTGACGACGGCATACAAGGTGCGGGCTGATTCTCGATGTCGTCACGTGGAATTCGACATCGGAGACTTTTTTTGGGTCGTCCTCACCAAGGATCGTTTCTCGGCGCATGAGTATAACAAGTTATCTGCTCGTAAGATTGGGCCGGTTGAGATCATCGAGAAGATCAACCTGAATGCTTATCGTCTCCGGCTTCCGTCGCATTTGAGGACTTCTAACGTATTCAATGTTAAGCATCTCGTGCCATTTTTGGGTAACAATTCGGAAGGAGACGAGATCGATCCGGATTCGAGGGCGAATCCTTCCCAACCGAGGGAGGATGATGGAGACGAGATCGCGATGGCGTTTCTGAAAAAATACGATCGGATGCCTTCTTTAGTCTAGTTATTTATTTGCTAGCTTTTATTATTATTCCTTGTTTCTATTTATTCTAGATAATATTTATTTAAGTATTATTCCCTTGTTTAGGAAACCTAGGTTGTTGGAACTATTTATTCCCTTCTGCTTTCTTATGAACATATTGATAATAAAAATTACAGACTTTGAGATTTCATCTCTTTATTCCCTTTTGTTCGAAGCTGCGCTACATCAGTCGTGCTGAGGATGCTGACAGGGAAGAAGCCGTGGGAAGGGAGGGACAAAGAGGAGATCCTGGCAACGATAGCGACAGAGTCGGAAATTCCAAAAATTCCCAAGAAGGTGTCGAAGGACGCGCGGCATTTTCTCAGGTGTTGTTTCGAGAGGAAGCCCCGATACTGTTTGACGGCCGGCCTACTTTTGGAACACCCTTTTCTCGATGGGTTGGGTAGTGACGATGACTATGAGTTTGAGGAGGATTGTCAGTCGGTGGACGTGTTTGAGTTCGAGAGTGATGTGGACGAAGAGTTAAGTTGTGAAAATATTAATATTGGCTCCTTTGATTCGGATTCGGATTCGGATTCAAACAACGAGCCCTCGTGTTGTTCTTCTGTTGGAAGCAAGGTGCCCTCGAGATACGGACGACACTATGATGTTGGTCAGGGTATCAATGGTCGTGCAGTGAATTTTATGAGGTTGCTTGTGAATTGAAATTAGATAGGACAACATACTTACTTACTGGAGATGCTAGCTAGAGGAAGTGTTAATTAGATTCATCCATATTCGTCGGTTGTTGATGAAACTATAGTCTCATTCGTCATTAGTTGATGTATTGTTGTTCATACATATGGAGTAATGATCAATTATGCATGTTTAACTTATAAAAAATTTCAACTAATAGCATAAAGTGCTATGATATTGTGAAATTATCAGTAGGATGATGGTAGTTCTACTCAAATGTGAAGCAATAATCTTCACCCACAAAGGAAACTCGCAGATCTAAAATTTAGGTCTGAATAACTTATTAACGATGAGTTGGCGCATAATTTTTTAATGAACATGCTCAAGGACTAAAAAATAGAGTTCCACAATTTTATTT